TACCTCCATTTCTGTTTTATCACATCCACTATGCAGAATCAGATTTGATGCTTTCAAATTTCTAACATTTTTTCCTGTATTAGGATTAACAGAAGAACTCACAGCTGTGAACTGGCCTTCATGGCTATGATTTGCAATTTGAGCATCATTCAGGGTATCCCATTTCTCATTGCTATGAATGCCCATAGACTGCTGGGATATTCTTCTAACACGTTCCTGCCCTCTTTCTAGTTTTTTAATAAGTGTTTGTGTTACAGAAGTTTGGTTTTTGCCCTCATGAGACAGGCATGAAGCAGAAGAGCATATTTTGCCAACAGACTCCTGGTCTTTGCTGGAAGTCTCCCGCCTGTCTCTGTTCCTCTGTTTCTCCATCTCTTCTGGGGACAGGCAAGCAATCCTATCAGCCTCTGGAGTGACAGGGAGTGGCATGTCATCATAGGTTGGTCTACAGAGGAGGGAAAAAAAAAAAAACCAACACCTTATACAAATCCTGTAAATATGCATAACATTTTTGAAACAATAATGTGGTGGTTTTTTGGGTTTTTTTTAGAAAAAGAGTAATTACCTAGAGTGCATCACACCTAATGAACAAACTCAAGTTACCAGATCTGCTACTTTAGCAGAGATACTTAATTTCAAAAAACGGTGGAGGAGGACAACGATCCACAAAGCTAACAATAACAATTCGAGCATTAGTCAGTTAGCCTCTCTGTGCAGTCACCCTTAAGAATGGTCAAACGTACATTATGATCATTTTATAAATACAGAAAAGCCAGAAAAAATAAAGATACTTCCTTTGTTTGAAATTGTGAGCTTATAAAGAGGTTATTTTAATAGTAAAACTATCATTAATATTGAGCTTTCGTAGAGAAATGGAACATTATAATATGGATGCTTACTGTTTCTCACAGACATACCACAGCTTCTCACTCACTTCTATAAGAAGCCAAGTTATGATCTGTTCAGCCTTCCTGTGACAACAGAAGATTTTTACATATTCTGTAACTGGCAGTTCTGCCTTTAGGACTGCCTCAAATACATGTGATTATGTCTTGCAGAATTGACAGAACAGACAGATATGGACTATTTCTCTTGTGCAACACAGGAACCCACAAGGCTTCAATGTGTAGCAGCTGTGCAAATCCAAAGAAAATAATTTTTTAAAAAATAACTATAACTGAAGAAAGAATACTATGTTTCATTTGAAAGTTGTAACCAAACCTTGTGAGACCCAAATGGATGCTTACTCTAATACATAGCAGACAGCCACGCACTTCTCATGGTGCATTCAACTGCTGACAGAAGTACTGTGAATAAATTTTATTGTACAGTAATTTCCTTGGTTATAAACATGCCGCTTCCACATTTATTGAAAGTTAAAACAGTCAGGAGCCAATGGAATTAGCAATGCTTAATTCTCAACATGTGCAGAAGTCCTTGAAGGACTCAAACATTAATTACTAATAAAGCCAGCTGATACCAAGCAAACTTGTAGCAAGTATTTCTAACTAGCTATTTCACAATGAAAAACAATCACAAGAGAACTTATCTGAATATAGCTATGTCTCAGCCTTTTACTGAGATATGACAGATAAAACAAGAATTCTCAGCTGGGAAGAACTGTTTTATAGTTGAAAAAAATGATAGGTTTGGCCAATGTTTAAAACAAAAAAACAAACAAAAAACAGCTGTCATGGCTCATGCATACCAGAAGCAGGAATCTCGCAGAAGACATGGCTATCTTGGTCAAAGGAAACAACAAAACAAAAACTGACATAACTGAGACGCCAAATTATATTTTTGCACCTTTACTGTAAAGGATGTTTAATTGATACTTGCCACGGACTTTGGTTTTATTCCTGGTAATGCATGTGGAATGCAATCACAGGCTGAAAGTCTGAATCAAAAATGCCACAACAGAACATTTCTCTTATAAATAATTACAGTTATAGAAGACTGTAAGGTATTAAATACATTGCTGACATTTAAAAACATAATGAAGTTATAGGTGGCAACACAAAACATTTCATAGCAACTAAAAGCTTTTAGAGCTGTACCTGGCAAGTTAGCCCTAGTAACAACAATTAAAATAAAATAAAATAGCTGGAAGACTGTAAGATTTAGCCACCACCAAGGCTTCTCAAGAGAAAAAGTTGTATTTCACTCATCTCTGGACTACATGTTATGCAGTGATAACCGAGTAGATAAAGAAGAAAATATTTACTATTTTGATATGCAAAAGGCCTCCATTAAGGTCCCTAGGAGTCTATTAAAAAGCTAAACAATCATTGGGGGACGGGGGAAAAAAAAAAACCCCACACACACTCAAACACCAAGAACTAGTTGCTAATATCAAATAGGAGGGTTGAACAATCACTCATCATCATAACAAAAGATCAGAAGCTGAATGCCCTGCAGTTCAGGCTTACTTGCCCTTTTGAAAATTTTTGAAGAGTAAAGTACTCAAATCTTCAGATGACAAGGAAATGCTAAAAGGATCCTCTGAATAATTTACATAAAGAAACACAATAGGGATGTTCAGTCAAATTTTGATAAACAAGGGATAAAACTTACAACACACTTTGCATGACCCTAACAAGCCACACTGATTCACCAACAGCAGTATACAACTCCTCCCTGCTCAAGATACATTATTTTCAATGAAAAATAGATAATATTTTATGACACAACCTGTTACTCCAAAAATACAACACTTTCCTCAAAGATGTCTCATCTTTTAGAATACAGTGGAATTCTGGTTCTCCAAGAAAAGGGGATAGAATTCATCAGAGTACAGATAAGTGTTATAGAATTGACTAAGCAAAAGGAGAAACCTCATATAACAAAACATTAAAAAAAAAAGATTATTTCTACTCTCGTATGAATGCAATGTAATCAAATACATCAGATGATCAAACAATGCCTGTCAGGTGAACTGCTGTGCCCTACTGCTGTATGCATTCTTGTCCACCTAAGCTCTGAGATAAAACACCTTTGTTCAAATTTCAAAATCTTACAGATCAGAATTAGACCTAAAGGGAAGGCCAAAGGCAGTAGAAATAATCTTTTGACTTTCTCACTTCAGAGTTCTTCCACCTTTGCATCAAACACCTGGCATCTGGATACTGCTGAAAGACTCAATATAGGACTACATAGATTTTGGTATGGATAAACTACAGCAAACGCCTAAGCTTCTAGCTCGCGTAACAGCCTATATTCAATTTTCAAAAATTACTTGCAAGAAAGTCTCTGGGGCATAGAACTATTGTCCTACAGTTAGGAACTTCTGATGTTTTTTCTACAAATCAGCCCCAAAAGCAGAGTGAAGATTTACTCTCTTAAATGCTCAGTATTATTTCTTAAAAAACTTTGACACCAAGAGCTTGGAGGAAGCAATGATTTGCTGGTTTGTGTGGGTTTTTTGTTTGTTTGTTTTTTACTGGGGGGAGGGGCAGAACAACAATATCCTTTGAAATTCAGTACAAAGCAAAGCTCTGATTAATTTCTTTTCATTTTTCTGCATCGCTACTAGGTATTCTGGTTCTGCAAAACAAATCAAGTCTCAGAAATATTTCTATAATCCTTTCAAATGACACTCTTAAGATCCTTTGTGTGCATTCAGCTAAATAGTAAAAATAGGTATTTAAGAACGGAGTGAAACTGTGTATCAATCCAAGTGTTTTTATGTAAGAAAGAAGAGAATCCAATTCTTACCTCAGATGCAGTTAAGAATGTGACTCTTTCATTCGTTCTTCAGAGCAGGATCGCAACACAAATCTATTCACACTTTCTTTTCCATCTTTTCTTTTCTTCCTCCAAACTCTGTCTAGATTCGGGATTACTCCTCCCCCTTCTCCCTCCAACTTCATCTAGATTTTGTACTTTAGTTTTCTCATTCCATTCATTCTTCCAACAACTTAGAGGAACACGAGTAGCTTGTTTTTCCTAGTTAGTAGATTTCGTTCACCAAAGGAATAACCTTGTATTAGTGACACCTCAAGAGAGGGCTTTTTTCATTTTCAGGTTGCCTTAAAGTGAATCTTATGTTTTCTCCATGGCAAAAAAATTGTTGAAGTTCTTAAGCTAGAAGGATTAAATTTATTTATTTATTTAAAGTGAAACTTACTTATTTGTAGTGATGCATACATGTGCTGGGCTAACTTGTCCTAGACTCACCTATTAGCTTGTTCTGTCACATACCTGATAATATCAATATGACTGCCTTCAGGCAAAACACCATTCTACCTGTTTGTGAGATCTACAGCAGAGCTGTATATCAAGATACACTGTACTGGGTTCATTCTGGGATTTTTATCTGCCTTGCAGAACATAACAAATGAGAAGCGAGATGCAATTGTATTCCCTTCATCTACACAGAAAAACTTACACACTGACCCTCATCACTCTTAAACATCCCCATGATAATAGAGAGAACACTTTTCACAATCTGAACATTAACAAATTGGCCAATAAATGTAATTCATGTAAGTATTAACTGAATGTGTGAACTGCAAGGATAATGAAAAAATAAACATACATTCACCTGACATTATCCACAAACAACAAGCCAAAAAAACCCCTCTTTCCAAACATACCATAAAATATGCTGCTAAATATATATAGAGCATAGAATTTTAAGAATTGTAATAAAATATATATAAAACCCAAACTACAAGAAATGCATGTCAGATTGTACAGTCTTCCATTATACCTGTGACCAATATACTCCTTTTTTCAGCTCTTCCCATTTAATTGCTATCAATAGTGCTGTATCAAAACCTCAAGTAGTGAAACAAAGTTTAAAAGCGCAGAGACAACACAAAAGCAATACACTTGGACAATGTTTATATAAATACACTCCTTTCTAAATTGTCTTCAGTTTGAAAGTTTCACCTCATATGGGCAAAATTTACTGCTCAGCAGTGGAACAGAAATAAGAACTTGTAATACATGCATTCTGTCAACACACATTTAAAAAAAAAGAAACCAGCTGTAGTCTACCTGTTGTCATGGTATCTGTGGGGATGATGCTGTAAAACATCTTGCAGGAACCGTTCCATTAGGCTACTGGTACCCATACGATTCCTACAGTAAGTGGTAAAATGTCTGTGCTGCGAGCTGAAAACATGCTAGTGAAAGATAAAATAGATGATTAGTTTAATACTACTAGCAACACACTTGCCTGTTCCTAAAAATTACTTCCCAGGTTAAACATTACAATATTGATATGAAAATATTTAAATAAAAAGAAAAATCTTCAGCTTTTTCTACTTAAAGGCCTCAATTCAATGAGATTTTTAAACATGCTTAGGGAGTCTCAAATAATACTAAAATGTATTGCAACATCTTTCTGAGTTGGAACGTAAATTAGCAGCTCTGACACCTGCTCACAAATCTCTTGTAACTAGTATTAATACTCTAACTGTATCTATAAATTACTTTTAAAAATATTCCTGAAATTCATATGAGTAAACATCCCATAACTCATTCAAATTAAGGAGAATTTTCATAAGCATAGAACATTAAGTAGGCTCCTACTTTCTAATTGAAAAAGTCTAAAAGACAGAAGACTGACATAGTTAAAGAAGAGAAAACAGTTGACCAAATGTCTTCAGCCTTGATATCTAACATATCATCTCTAATACTTTATAATATATTCAGATTTCAAGATTAAAGCCACAGAAATAAACCTACTGGATACAAAGCACAGCAGTGTGCCACGTGAGAAAAGCAGACTGCAGAAGCCATGCCACTCCATCAGCATCTTTTTAACAGGTAACAGATAAGAAGTATCTTCTCTGTGTATACATTGTGCAATTCAGAAATTGATTATCTTTCATTCAGCATTGGTTGTTCAGTGTAGAAACTGGTATTTTATAAGCTGATAAAGTCTTTTGGTACTCCTTGCTATCTGTTGCTGAATTATGCAGAAACCTTCTCACCTGTTCCAGATTACTGTAGTGTACATGGCAACAGCTGCAGTATCCTTGTCTGTTCTGCACAGTGGATACTCCAGGCTGAGAATGTTCTTGCCCTCTTGTGTGTAAACTGAAAGAAGCAGGTAATATTACCAAGGCATTTCAGTAGGAAAACGAAAAATGTTGGGTTGTTTAATTCGTCTTCTTAACATAGAAATTCTAAATAACTATCATAGTACAGAGTTGGAACAAACTTGCAAGATAAATGTTTCTATTTCAGAATTGTAATGGCAGGTAGGACTACATTTTTTAAAGTATTCCCAAGCAAATTTCCCTAGTTTTTCTTAAGTGCAGAACAAAGGACAACAGGTTGAAGGTACAGCTAACACAAATGATAATCTCAGTTGGCTGAAATCTGAAAAGAACTGTATCTCCAGAAAAAGGCAGAGTCATCTTTTCATTCTTCTGGTTTTTAGTATTTTGAAGTTTTAACAAACAGACTGAAGACAAAGAAATATTGACAACCACGCATTCATTTTGGGCACTACAATGCACCTTCCCCACAGTTTTTGGTGGTATGTGGGTACAAGACAAAACGGATCTCCATCATACACTTGATCTATTTTGCATCACTGCCACCCATTACCCAACATAACAGATAAAGCTGAAAAACAGATTCTTTGTGTTTTGCTTTGTGTAAGCAGTAAGCTAGATGCCAGTTAGATCATCACCTAACTTACCTGCTATTGCTGTCCTGTCGTAGTGAGCCTTCAACACCATGTCTTTCAACTCCTACAGAAAAAAAAAAAAACAACACAAAAACCATAATATCAAAGGGATGGAATGGAGTTTTACTTGCAATTAGTTACTTCTCTTACATTGTATTTGTCAAAACTACTATTTAAAGGAAGATAAAAGTTCAGTAAGTTCAGGAAAGCATGTAAGGCGAGAACTTTTTGTCCTCCAAGTTCCTCTAAGAGCTTCATAAAATATGCTTTACTCTTTCATGGTCAAGGTCAGTGGGAATATTTATACTGATGTGTTTGGGATCAAGACTAGGCAAACTACATTTATACTGCTACATCCGCGACCACTGAGATAAAATGAAGCATTTCTTAAACAGCTTATTACAGGACAAGAAAATTACATCTACATGGAAACTTTGTGGATGATTCAGAAGTCACTTCTTCCATCTAACTTCTGTAATGAAATTTAGGAAATCAAAGTATGCCATTGAAACTACAAGGTGACCTAATGCTTCTACTGTTAATTATCACATTAAAAAAAAGAATAACTGCAACAAAAACACCTACTTTAAACTTCTCACCTTGTGTTGAAGAAGCAGAAGCTTCATCAGATGGCTTGATTCTGTCAAACATCTGTAGGTAAAAAAACAAAATAAATGAGAATAAAAAATTTCAAAAAAAACCCAACACAGTAAAGCCCATCCTCAAGTTCATCCTTCAGTCCAAGATCCACTATATTGTGTTCGGAAGCACTATATTGTTTCAGCTATAGACCAAAACCTGACTTCAATGAAGCTGCATTAAATTTCTGCTATCCTGGGTTACCCTAATACCATATTTAACAATGCATGTTAACTTTGATAGAAGGGGTTAATTTCTGACCTAATTAACAAAGTCAAATACTATACTTACGAACACAGCTTAGACTATGTTAATGTTATCAACCAACAACCTTGTCAAAATCACTTAATTTCCTAAGTTGCCTTTACAATAGACATGAAAGACTTCTGTTAATAAAAAACATACAAGACCTAGACCACACAAAATAATTATCCAGGCTGCAAAACTAATGCTTATTGCTCAAAAGACCTGCAAACCAATACTGAATCCCACAATTTTTAACTAAAGTATGACTGCAGCAACATGCACCTACATGCTTCAGGGTGCCCAAACACAAAGGGCTTCAGAGTTTCACAGAGTCCTTTCACATTACGGAATGCAAGCATAAAATCAGCTTTCCAGTACAAACCTTACAGTCATCAGCCTTCTTCATCCACCAGAGCTGACTCCAGACTAGCAAAGAATAAATGTTGAACAGGAGGCTGCTTGCAGTGCAGGACACTTCTCTTTTCTCATCCCATCTGGCAACAAAGTAGTTAAAAAGCCTTTTAAGATAGAGTTAATAATGCATGTTTTCCATGCACTAAGGCATGTAAATTTTTCTGTGCCACTTTGCAAACACGTCAGTTGATAAAATTAATAAATTCCTTTTTGAAGTCTGTAGTACATCCTTCTTCCTTATTATAGAAGTTGTTTTGACAGTCTTTCCTACATAAATGTTAACTGTTCCTTCTGGAATAAGTTTGTTTCTTCTTTCTTACTCATAGTCCCTACCTACTAAACATTGCTGTCCATTTGTATGCTAGCACTCATGAAATTAAGTACACTTATACAATAACAGAAAAGAAAATCCTCAATATTAACCAAAATGAAATTAATCTATTTTGAGCACCATTCATGAATCTGCTTAGAAAACAATGTTTTATTTTCCTTGTATTACATAAACAAGTTAGACATTGCAGTAATATATGTACTGGAAACTTCACAGTAGGTTGGACATCAAAGCATTTTATAAATTAATGATCATATACTCAATGCAGGATCATCATCAGCACTATGGACAGGAAAACAGAAAGGCCACAATAACCTGCACAATCACTGTCACCAGCATAACAGTGAACGTATCACATCCTGTCTCAAAACTCAGGACTTAGCAATTATTGGATCTGCTCTTGGCTTAACAGTTACATAATTGTGGGATGACAAACTTAAAGTTTCAAATCAACCACTTTTACTTTTTGCCCTTTATAAACTGTTTTTACACAAATCATTTCTTCCCCTCTCTTTTCCTGTGTGGGGGGGATGGCAAGGCTCGACCGAATTGCTTGTTGTAGAAAATCCATTTTAAGCTTAGCACACGGTGTCCTTGACAGAACAAGGAATTTAACAAATCAACTCTGCGGTTAGCAAGAATGTGAAAAACAGGTTGCAGCTGGAGAAGAATGAGGGAGTATGGGCGGAGTTGACATTTAGCTGGCTAGCCAATAATGAGCTCTAACTTTGCAATATGTAGTAGCTAATTAATCACTCTATAAATTGTGTAACCAAACAGTAATAAACGAAGCTTGCTTATCACTCACATTGAGTCGGCTGCATTCTTCCGCTGTCTCTCCAGGACAGCAACCCTCGGGGTAGAACTTCGCCCCGACA